TCATGCATATGTAAGGTGGTATGTGTTTGGTTGCCGGTTTTGTAAATACATAGAATTTGAGTGGTATGCATGTTAATCATAAAAAAAGTGACAGAATGTAATGGTATTTGTGCAATTTGGTTGAGAATTTGATGAATAGAGGTATGAGAGAGGCAGAATATGTAAATTGATCATATTTGAGTCTTAAACTAGAAGATTTTCTTCATTGTTTTCTTGGGTCCACATACATTGTCACAAGAATTATTATTATTATTATTATTATTTTTCACTAAATTTCACAATAATTTAATTATGGTGTCCATATGTGGCTCTTGAAGTTGGAAAAAATTTACGTACATAAGACGTACGCAGCGCTGCGTATATAGTGGAGGTTATATGGGCGTTATGTCGGTATTATATTTATGTTATATCCATTGTAAACTTCATATAACCTCTATATAACTTACCTAAACTTACAAATAAGTTCCGCGCTTTTGTTTTCACATATCTGTAGGTTACATGTAAATTACATGAGAGTTATATAAAAGTTACAAGAGATATAACATGAATATAATACCGATATAACGCTCATATAACTTCCATTATGTACGCAGCGCTGCTTACGTCTTACGTACGCAAATGTTTTCCTTGAAAGTGAGTTCGGACTCTCTTTATTAGCTGGTGACTCTACTCGTTTAAACAAATATTAATATAAAATATATTAATTTTTAAGATTTTATTTTTAAGGTATTAAAAATATTTTAAAATAATATTTTATATTTTATAGTATGTAATTTGTCATTATTTTTCTTTTAGATGCTCATTCTATTAGCCTTTTTATCATAATATTATTTTAAATCAATATTATTTTCAAGTCTATTCAAACTCATAAATTTAAGCTCGAGCTTAATAAAATATAACTGAGAACCCGACTTAACTCATTTACACCCCTAATTTAATGTGTCACAGTTTATGATGTGATTCACGGGATTGATATTGTGATATAAATAGTGGGATATAAACACACCTTTCAAATCTGTGCTGTGCATTTACATACATACCACCTAATTGTTATCTTTTTAACGCCTAAACTTTTGTTTTTTTACATTTATACAATCCGCATATTTCACATAACTCCAGAAATAATACTATTTTAACTTCTAAAAAGTGAAAAAAACATTTTGAGGTGGCATATATGTAAGAATTCAAGTTTGGGTGTTAGATATGTAAATGCATAAGAATTGAGTGGTTTAATTGTAAATGTTCCTTGTTTTTTATCATCTTTGCATCATTTGCTCTTTGATAAGCGCCACCAACAATTTAAAAAGCTATCCTCCCTTTGTTTATTTAAACAAGGGCGGTGTTCTGTTCCCACTTGTCTCTTAATTTTCTTAAAAGGCAAACTTTAATAGCTGTTTTATTTTAATAGCGCTATCAAAATAATAAATTCAATTATTAAAATTTTTATTTTGATAAAAAATATTCAAAAAATGACCAGTAAAACATGAAACTTTTTTTTTTAGTAATTACACAATAATGAGCATTACATGTCATGTAATTTAAGAGTAGTTATGAAGCTTGTGAGAATTGGACCAGATATGCTACAGCAAGAAGAAAATATTCAAGGTTCAAGATTTTGTTTGGGTCGGTGTGCTGTGGCAGTGCTGCACCGCAGGTAAACTGTATTTTGACATATTTTTCAAAAAATCACAGCTAAAATTAGGTGGGTGGCAGTTTTTTAGCACCGGTCCTAATTATGTGGGTGGCAGTTTTTTAGCAACGGTTTGACTTTTTTTTTTTAAAAAAAAAATTATAATCACCCACGTAGCTTCTTGAACATCAAATTATTTTTCAGCAGTTTCACAGTTGTTGGCGAGCCCGTCCGCCTTGCGAAAAATTTTGATCCCGCCAGAAATCTTTTCTGCGAACAAAATCTTCTGCAAAAATCCTTTCAAAATTTATCAGCAAAAAAAAAATACTGCAGCTCCTCCAAACTGACCCTCAATGACTAGATAAGAGTTAAAGTGAAGATAAAAAAGATGAAATGATTTAAATATAATTTAAATGACAAATAATATTTTAATATAATTGAATATTTTGAAAAATATTCAAAATAAAGAAAAACTAATAAAATCGATTTTTTATTTTTATATCTTGTTTCCTGTCATTAGATCAAAAAAAAAAAAAAAACAGGAATTAATATTTGAAATGAATCTCAATTGGTTCAATAGTTCGCCAGTTTAATCCCGATTCAATACCAATTTTATGCAAAAATATTTATGAGCTTGGGTCAAAATGGTTGAATTATTGATTCACGGTTGAACCGATTGAACCAACTGATTAAATCAACCGATCTGATCCAACTTTTAAAAGCATGACTATCATCTAGTCTTGAAATCATAATAAGAAGCATCGTGTAAAATTTGTAGAGGAGTTGGTTCGAGTCTTCTCTTAGATTAGAAGATCATTAATTTCTAACATAATTAACCCAATTTGGGTTAATGAAAAATCCAAAACGCTCCTTTCCTTTTCTTCCCGGACCGCGCTCCTTTCTTTTCTTTCGCAGATCTCCAGCCCGCCTTCCTTTTCCTTCGCAGATCTCCAGCGTGAACCTTCCTTTTTTTTTTTTTCGAACCTTCCTTTTTCGCACGCTGAAGCTTCCTCTGCGAACAGCCTTCCTCGGGAACAGATCGCACAGTCTTCCTTGGGAACAGATCGCAGCCTCCGCGAGCTGTCGAACAGCAGTCACCGTCCGCTAATCCCGGGTCACGATCCTCCTCCAAAACGTCCGAACCTTCTGCTTTAAGCCCGTGATCTGCAACTTCTGCGCCAAACACCGCCAACACCGAAGCCTTCGCCGAATCTCCTCTGCGGAAATCGCCAAACTTCCCCTTCGCGAACTACTCCTGCCGCCGCGCCAAAAAAAAAAATTTCTTCTGCGCCCTCGAACCAGGCTCTGATACCACTTGTTGTGAAAATTAGGGCGAAGAAAAACAGTAATCGACACAAATCCAGAAGAACACAGAGATTTAACGAGGTTTGGCAAAGATGCCTACGTCCTCGGGAGCAGAGCGGCGAGTTCCTTTCAATATTCAGAAAAGGGATTACAGAATAGAGGGATCCAACTCTCTCAGAGACCTAGGATTACAGACAGGTCTATTTATAATCCTAGAGTAAGCCCTGCAGTACAATATGTAATTCTCAAATTACCCCTGTACCGTATAGGCCCAACCCATATAACGTAACTTCCCAATTTCGACAGATTCTTTCGCTCCGCTCCGCTCCGCTCCGCTTCGTTCCAGCATATGTCCCTAAATGGTATATGAGTCATACCATAACAGATAATTATCTAAATTATTTTGTCGACGAATGCAAAGAGGATTCTTCCCCCTTTCGTGCAGGCTTCTTTTTTTATTCAACTCCCAATCTTTTTCAAAATTAGAAAGGACCCCCTTTGTTTTTAACGTTCTCTCTATAAGCCGTCGTCTCTACCCAAGTTACTGGCACTCGGATATGGTTTTGAAGCTGCGCTTGCCGGCTGAAATGGGAGCTCTCTCTTTCTTGGAGTCCGGTAAAGGGGCTTTTACTCAACTCAAAGGTGCCATTTTTAGCTCCAATTTACTCGGGTAGAGTTTTGTCATTCTAGTTCATGCTTTTTCTCTCTTTCTCTCTCCTTCAATCATTTTTCAAGTTAGAGCAAAATCCCCATTTACCATTCCTTTTCTCTCTCTATCTCTAAGTTGGCCGGAGTTGGATATATTGTTTTGAGGTTTTCAGGAGGCGGCGGGGGCTGCAGGAATCCGGCGGAGATAGGGATCTTGACCCACCTCAAAAGTTGCATTTTTAGGGCATTTTCAGTTCTGCTTCGGCTGAGGGGAACATTATGATTTGGCAGAGGAGCTTTCAAACGCATCAAAGATAGCTTTTTTAGGGCATTTTTCACTTTTGGTTTTGCTAAATTTAACATTTTCATTGATAATTTCACTTTCTTTTTTGATGAATCTAATTTCAATCCATTCTTGACTAAATCCAAGAGTAAATTGCCAATTTCTTCCAAGTCCTAGAGTTTATAGAAGTGCTAAAACATTCCTCAAACCGTTTAAAATGGGGCTTAAATCCAATATTTTGATGAAATTTTCACTCTAACAAATCTTCAATCTTAAACCCTTAAACAAACATTCCAACAATTTATGAAAATTTAGACTCACAAGATTTATTAAATCCTACTTTAATTGAAATTATTGGGATTTCATTTCATTTTTCTTATATCATCTCAATCAATGCAAAATCTAAGTCTAAAAGGGCATTAAGTAAGAATATTTCTTATGCTTTTATTGAGATAGGATTTTCTCCAAAGAAGTGGGAGAAGGCGGCGGGATGGTCGAGGAGGGCCTGCTGCTCAATGAGTCAGCGTCCTCCGCCTCCACCGGCTTGGCCTGGTCGCGTTGTAGTTGAAGAAGGCCGAAGATCATGGGAAGGTCCAAAGCCTATAGCCATAGTTGGGTCAACTGGATCAATTGGAACACAGGTATGAACTCAATTAGAGTGTAATATTCTGTATAACATGTACATAATGTGTAATTTCAAGTATTTTATATGCAATAATGCACACTAATGACTAATAACTAGGGGCATTATATACATGCCACCCAATTCCAATGTATTTCCATATATGACCCATAATCTTTGCTTTTTATATATATACCATCCAAATCTTTCATATCACATCAAAAGTACCACTATTTTTAACCTTTCATGCATGGGATAGGTCATATGTATGTGAAAACTGCAAGTGTAGGTGTTAGATGTGTAAATACATAGGAGCTGAGTGGTATGCATGTAAATCTCCCTAATAAGTAATATGATTAATCTTTATTGAACACTTTTATATTTAACCTCTGATATGTTTACTTAATTACTCTTTGTAGAATTTAATGCATTCAAACTAGTGTAAATTGGTTGTTATGTATCATCAAATCATGTGGTTTGAATATTCTTAACTTCATGTTTATAACTTAATTTATTCTATTTTTCTTTTTTATTTACAAAAATATATGTTATTTTGCATATTTATCCTATATTTATATTCACTAAAATTTGTTTTTTACCCCCTCTTTTCTTCAGACATTAGACATAGTAGCTGAGAATCCAGATAAGTTCAGAGTAGTGGCTCTTGCAGCAGGATCTAATGTGACTCTTTTGGCTGATCAGGTACTCATGTCTATCTACAGGAGGGGCATTTACATTTATCTCACCCAATTCTTATGTATTTACATATCTAACGCCTAAACTTTACCTTTTACATTTATAAATATCCACCTTTTTTTTTCTAATTTTTGAGCAGGTAAAAACTTTTAAGCCTCAGCTTGTGGCTATAAGGAATCAATCAATGTTTGATGAGTTGAAAGAAGCTCTTGCTGATGCTGAGCACCAACCTGAAATAATTCCTGGGGAAGAAGGTGTCATAGAGGTCTGTCTTTTTTTTTATCAATGTCTTGTGATTGTTAATTTTGCGTATGTGTCCGCTAAGCTTGGTCGATAATGATCTTGGAAGCTGTTGCGAAAATTTTTTAGATCGAATATGTGCTTTAGCACTCAACTTTCAAAAAATTGTTTTAGATAGAATATTGTCTACATCGAATATGTGCTTTAGCACTCAACTTTCAAAAAAGAAACTTGTTTAACAATACATCTCGTATTTGTTTTCTCGTTAGGTTGCACGCCATCGAGATGCTGTCACAGTAGTCACTGGGATAGTAGGTTGCGCGGGGTTGAAGGTAAATTGTTTTTATTTTTGAGAAATTTTCATATGTACCATGCAATTCTTATGTATTCATGTATCTCACACCTAGCTTTCATATTTATATGTGTAGCACTTTGGTGATTTAAACTTATATATGAAAAAGTGTATTTCTCTTTTAAAAGGTGGTTACAGATGTGAGTGCTGTGTGTTTAAATATGAAAGTTTAGCTATGAGATATATAAGTAAGACAATATATATGTGTAAAAATTGAAAGTTTAGGCATTAGATATGTAAATAAATAAGAATTGAGTGGTATGCATGTAAATTTTCCAAAGATATGTTTTTAACTTTTTAATCAGAATTCAATACTCATAATGATTTTTGAAGCGAAATATCAGCCTACGGTGGCTGCGATAGAGGCCGGAAAAGACATAGCTCTGGCGAACAAGGAGACGCTCATCGCCGGAGGACCGTTCGTCCTTCCGCTTGCACATAAACACAAAGTGAAAATTCTTCCCGCAGATTCTGAACATTCTGCCATATTTCAGGCATGGATGCTACAGTTTTGGTTCAAATCTCATGCAGTAGATGTTCTTTGTATATTGTTTTCTTAAGCTTTTGCTGATTGTAGTTATTATTGTTGTTGTTGTCGTCGTCTTCTTCAGTGTATCCAGGGCTTGCCAGAAGGGGGACTTCGACGGATAATTTTGACTGCATCAGGCGGGGCATTTAGGTATGACTCGATCGCATTGATTTAACCGTGAGTTAGTTTGGATTTATATATTCGGGAGCTTTGAAATCGTGAAGGAAAATAAAAGAGTGAAAATACATATTTTCATGCATACATTTATGAAACCAAAATGGTACGAGTGTAAATATGCAAATATTTTATTTTAAAAGAAATTATATATTTCATGCTGATGTGGTTGCAAGCTTGGAGTTCATCTTAGGGATTGGCCCGTTGAGAAGCTCAGAGAAGTCAAAGTTGCTGATGCTTTGAAGCATCCAAATTGGAATATGGGAAAGAAGATTACTGTAGATTCTGCTACTCTTTTCAACAAGGTTAATATTTTCCCACTAAATAAAAATAAATAAATTGAGAAAAAGAAAAGGGATAATTACATATAGATCACTCGAAACATTGATATTTATAAATTAATCACACAGGTGATTTTGTTTTGAACTATTGAACCGATATATTTATGTGGGTATTGATCATTAAACTGTTGAGAATTTGATAAAAATAAAAAAAATATGGTTTCAGGTTTTCTCATGGATTTTCATATTTGAGTGAGAATTTAAAAATGGATGAACGAGCGTGGTTGATTTGTAAATAGCAACTTTCGGGTGGTCTGTCTGTAATTGCCCAAAAAAGCCAAACATAAATTATTTGGAATAATATTAATATAAATTGATATTATCAGCGTTATCTTCGCTAGTTAATATCGGTTTTATGAGTTCTCTTTCTCTATTTGTTCTTTTGTTTGAATATTGCATGAGGTGTTAAAATCTGTTTTTATTAGGGGCATTTACATTCCTACCATACAATTCCTATGTATTTATATATCTAACCTCTAAACTCTACTTCTTGTTTACATTTGTACCACCAAAATCTTTCATATCATATAAACAATATCATTATTTTAAATTTTGAAAAGTGGTATACACATTTTCATGCAAAGGTGGCATATTGATACAAACCAGACGAGTTTTCCATAGAAATTAGGGCAAACAAATATCTTATTTCATTAAAACAAAACAACACAACTCAAGTATATAAACAATAAAAACCTACAATTCGGGAGGTAGGTGATCTTTCCCAAACTGTAACCATAAGACTCAAGACAATGACCCTAACCCTAAACATATTAGTCTTACTTATACCTCACAATATTAAATAATAAATTACCAAATTGTCCTTTTAGCCTTGCGCCTTAAATAAGTCTTCAAATTCTTTGGTGTGTTTAACATCGGTGTACCACACACACATAAAGCATTCTGCATCATAAAGCATTGCAGATCTCACCACTATCTTATAGAATTTCCCATTAAGTCTAATGGTATTTTTCTATCACACATTAGGCCTAATGCATTCCTCCCCTTCAACCAACCAACCTGAATTCTACTAGTAAAATCCCCATTCATATCATCACTTTAAACAATAAACCCGAAATGTCTTAAATGTTTACATATTTTAATGATTTGATCACACATAGCATAACTCTGCCACTAGAGCTTTTACTACTAAAATTACATTTCATGTATTCGATTTTAGATATGCTCAAATGAAAGCATTTAGACTCCAATTTAAACCTCCATAATTCAATTTTTTCCTAAGTTACTTATCTAGTCTTATCCACAAGAAGGATATCATCAGTGAAAAGCATACACCAAGGTACATCCTCATGTATATGTCCAACAAGAGCATCTATAACTAAAGCAAAAAGATTTAGGCTTAAAGCTAATTCTTGATGTAATCCATCTGAAATAGGAAAATACTTGGTCAATCCTCCTTCTGTTCGAACATAAGTAACCACTCTAATATCACTCTAATATACATATCTTTAAATCTTTAGTTACTTGAATATAGTTGTATCAACACTTTTCTTTTCTAGAACTCTCCAAAGAACTTCTCTTTGAACCATATCGTAAGTTTCTTCTAAATTATTAAAAAATCATATGTAGATCCTCCATTCTCTGTACTTTTCCATCAACTTCTCAATAAATGTATATCTTCCATAGCAGAGTTGCTCGATATTAATCCAAACTAACTATGAGAAATCTTTGTATCATCTCTATGTTCAATTACGCTCTCTCATAATTTTAAAGTATGACACATCAACTTTATTCTTCTATAATTTGCACACTCTTGTGCATCCCCTTTATTCTTAAAAATAGAGACCAAAATACTCTTTCTCTACTCCTCGAGCATCTTTTAGTTTTTAAAATAATATTAAAGAGCTTAATAAACCAAGAAACTCCCAAATCTCCTAGATCTTTCCACACTTCAATAAGGATAAGATCAGGTCCTACTGATTTTCTACCATTGGTTTTCTTTAAAGTCTCCCCAATTTTCTTTTTACTAATGCGACAATAAAAATAAAATGTTTTATCATTAGCATTGATATTAAGATCGCTAAGATCAATTGTATTTTTAAAAATTTCATTGAAAAGTTTATAAAAATAGCACACCCATCTATGTTGAACATCTTCCCCTAAAAAACACTTCATTTTTCATCTTTAATACACTTGACTTAAGTTTTTTTTTTTTTGGTTTTTCCCTTTATTAGCTAGTTTATACATATATTTTCCACATTCATCAGTATCTAATAGTATCTGATCTATTATAAGATCACTAAACGCAAAATTTTTATCTTCACAAATTATTCTTTTACTTATGTATGTAAATTTCCTTTTTTTGTTTAAGTGCTTTATTTTATTGATTGATTTATTGAGTTAATTTGTTTTCCATAAATTAGGGTTTGGAGGTAATTGAGGCACACTATCTTTATGGGGCTGGATATGATTCCATTGAGATACTAATCCACCCCCAATCAATCATACACTCAATGGTTGAAACACAGGTTTTTTGCTCGTCATATCTACACACCTCTCAATTTAGTATATTTTGGTGTATTTTGCAATAAATTTTTTTCAAATTATAATATATGTTTTTGCAGGATTCTTCAATCTTGGCTCAGTTGGGATGGCCTGATATGCGCCTACCTATCCTTTATACAATGTCTTGGCCAGATAGAATCTATTGCTCAGAGATCACTTGGCCTAGGCTTGATCTTTGCAAGTAAGCCCCTCTAATTTTAGTTAATTTTTTTACTTTTAAGAAAGATTTGCATACATGCCACTCAATTCTATATGTATTTGCATATCTAATATTATAAACTTCAATTATTACGCACGTGTGTTTGTGCGCGCGCACGCGTGTGTGGCCGTGGGCGTGGGTGTGTGTGTGTGTGTGTGGACGCGCGCGCGCGTGTGTGCGTGTGCGTGTGTCGTCTTACCTATACATGAAAAAATGTATTTCTTATATTCAATAAAAAAAAAACCCTCTTGATATATTTTTCATTTTGACCCTTATGATTTACAAAATTACAGGCTTGGATCTTTGACATTTAAAGCACCGGACAATGTGAAATATCCGTCGATGGATCTTGCATATGCCGCCGGCCGAGCCGGAGGCACGATGACCGGTGTTCTCAGCGCTGCTAATGAGAAGGCTGTTGAGATGTTTATTGATGAGAAGTATGATCTTCAAACTCATCAAATTATTACTTTTCTCATATAATATAACATATTTTTTACTTATATCTCCCTCAATTCCTATGCATTTACATGTCTTTAATATCTAAATTTCAATTTTTACGTATATGCCACCTGACCTATGCATGAAAAACAATATAATCATAGTTTTGATGTGCTATGAAAGATTTGGGTGGTATAAATGTAAAAGTAATTTTTAGGTGTTAGATATGTAGATTCATAGGAATTGCATAGGAAGTAAGACTGTAAACAAGCTGAGCTTGAGTGAGCTCAAGTTTGGCTTGTGTTCGGCTCATTTGAAATTAATTGTGTGAAATTGGCTCGTGTTCAAAATGAATAGTGTGTTCGCGTTCAACCCGATGTACATATTCTTTTTCGTGTTTGGCTCCAAATTTGCTCGTTTAAATTAATTAGAAAAATAGATGTAAGGCGCTCGATCTGAACAAGAGCCAAGCCTTACATATAAACTTAGATATAAGCATAAGCATAGCTTGAAATGAGCCGAACACAACAAAAAAAAATTAGTTCATGCTCGACTCGTTTATTTAACGAACGAGTCGAATAAACCTTGGGTTCTAATTTTTCAGGATTGGTTATCTGGAAATATTCAAAGTGGTTGAGCTAACATGCGATGCGCATCGGAACGAGTTGGTCAAACAACCTTCGCTCGAGGAGATCATTCATTATGATTTGTGGGCTAGGGATTATGCTGCTGGCTTAAAATTGGCATCTGGATTGAGTCCAATTACCGCTTGATTAAAATTTAAAAAATATTTATGCTGTCATCAAATAAAAAAAATGAGTTTTGGTTCATTTTCATTTAATGCTAAAGCTTTTAGCTATTTATCATTTCTTTTTCAGTTTTTGTTTTCATGAAAGAAGTTGTAATTGACACTTAGTATAACATATTTCTATATATATATATATATATATATATATATATATATA